ACTTTGTCAATTGGGTCTGATTTGTTCACTCAGTACCCACCAAGTAGCATGATGTCCGTCACATATCACATACTCAATAAATGCATGCTGAACTGTGTTGAATAAAAGGAAGATGATGTGTGGATGAGAGGAAAGGTAAATGGATGAAAGCATGAGTGAACGGAGGGGTGGATAGATGGAGAAAAAGGTGAATGGGACAGCTGATGGATAGGTAAGTGGAAGAATGGATGGTTATCTGTCTGGAGCAAAATTAGTACAGATGAATGAAAGGGAGACTAGTTGGATAAAAGGCTGAAGGGATGAATGGAAGAAAGAGTGGATGGATGGATGGATGGAAAAGTGAATGGGGAGACAGCTGTATGGATAAATAGATGGACCAGTAAGTGGAAGGATGATGGAGGGGTGTCTGCATGAAAGTTTGGACAGATGAATGGAAGAGTGAATGTATGAAAGGGTGGATGGATGGACAGATGGTGAAGTAGAATGATGATGGAGGGGTGTCCACATTAAAGTGTGAATAGATGAATGACAGAGTGAATGGTTGTGTGAAAGGTTGAAGGGAACGAATGGGTGGATGAATGAATGAAGGAAGACGAGTGGATGAATGGATGGAAACAAACGAGGTGCTAAACTTTTCCCAGACAACTTGTTGGCAGACACTGGACTGCCCAGCTCAAATCGAACAATTTATTACCAAAGCACAGTGATGGAAACAGTAGGTAGGGTCCCTGCTAAGGGGGCAGCCCTGCTCCCGCCTGTGGGTGGAAGTCGCCTCCAGCCACACCCACTGGCTGGCTGGAGATGCGGGTGAAAGACAGGCCAGTCACAGGAGGAGTTTCACATTATCTAGGGCATCTCTATGGGCTCCCTGACGCTGGTCGGGACGGTGGAGGACAGCCTAAGGAAGCAGCAGGACTACTCATTGAAGGGCTCTCTCTAGAAGCTTGTCTGTGGTTCAGCAGTAGGCCGGGAGTCACATTTCTTCTTTTGTCTATGTCAAACTGCACGTTCTGGGGAGTTCTGGAAACTTCTGGAAGACAATTAAAATGGCTGTTGATGGCTCAGTCACTCAAGGCACGCCCTTGATGCCCACACTGCACGCCAGGCCCTTTGCAGGCACTGAGCACAGCTGTGAACAAGAGCGGTGAGAAGCTGCTTTGCTGAGTACTGTCAGCAGACGTGTGGATGGATGGAACACGGCCTCCCCCTGCCCTGGGGTGCGGATGCTGCCACGACATGGATGAGCCCCGCCAACGGTGCGCTGAGTGAAGGCAGGCGATCACAAGAGGCCAACTATGACAGGGTCTCCCTACCAGTAAATACTGGGGTAGGCAAATGGATAAAGATCAGTTTACTTGTGGTTGCAAGGGGCGGGAGGGATGGGGAAGAGGGGGCGTCACTGTTGAGCTGGCACTAAGCTTGTGCTTGTGGAGATGGGAAGGTTGGCACTGGAAACTGGTGATGGTGGCCTAACGTGACTGCTGTACTGGTCTCGTTAAACTGTACATGAGAAGGATGCTGAAATGGTAACGGCTGTGCTATCTGTATCTTTACAACAATAATAATTTTAAAAACCACCACCAGTATCTGAGAAGTAGGCTTCAGGGGTGATTGAGGACGGGGTGTTGGTCAGGGCCAGGGAAGCAGGGAAGGAATGAGTGGGGCTGGGGCTTACAGTCTCTCTTCTTCCACCTGGACACCACCTATGGCCCCACGGGCAGATCCACAGGGTCGTAGGCTGACACCCGCAGGTCCTGCAGCAGGGCTTCCAGACTGTTCCGCAGCATGGTGTAGGGTGGCTTCTCATCGTACTTGAGGGCCATCACCACCTTCAGGTACTCCTGTAGGGTCTCTGTGGTCAAGACACACCCCCACCACAGGGGAGACCTGAGCGGTGCCCCCAGCCCAGAGCCTGGGAGGGGGCATTCAGAGGGGGCAAAATGTCGACACAATTCTTCAAGCACTGACATAGAAAATCTCCAAGATCTATTCTTAAATGACAAAAAGATGAGTTGGAGACCGACATAGATAAATATAAACCGTTAAAAAAAGGGGGAAAAAAAAAAAAGGAAGAAAAAGCCAGCAAAATAGATAAATTTAAGAAAAAGAGAATGAATGAGTATGAGGAACAGGAGGAGGAAATGAACTGTGTGGCTAATTGCCCCCATGAACAACTGTCTCCTTTGCAATGAGACCAGGAGTGGATGGTACCTGGCTTATTTTACTGAATGTTTTAGTCAAAAGTTCTATTAAAGTATCCTGATCAAAAGGTAGAAAATGTAGAACAATTGCAAATTCTCACGGAATCCAGAATTTATGGAGCCATGGAGGCTGATGAATCCTCAATACAGAATCCTCTGAGATAATAGTTAAACCTTACACCAAAAATATTCCCCAAGGTGTTCTTTAATCCACACAGCAGCTTAGCCTTCCTGGTAGAGAATGTCTGCTTGGAGCAATGAGCTCTCATAGTATCTGTCTACATGGGAGCAAACTGACAACAGCAACTTGAAGGATTCAATAGAATACTTAGGGGCAGTGAGTTTATGCAAATGCAGGAGGAACAACTAAGGAAAAGAGGGTGGAATGGTTGTAAACTCACAGACTGATCAGTGTCCTGACTCTGTGTATAGAAACTGGTGAACTGGTACATTTTCTGCTCTGTGTAGTCCATCCACGACAACAAAAGTCAGAAATTATTAAACAATATATACAAGGAGCTCTGGTGGTGCAGTGGATAAGGCATCTGGCTGCTAACCAGAAGGTCAGCGGTTCAAATCCACCGCCTGCTCTGCAGAAGGAAGATGAGGCAATCTACTTCTGTGAAGACGTAAAGCCTCGGAAACCCAGTGGGGGTCGCTGTGAGTTGGAATTGACTCGATGGCAGTGAATTGAGTTTATATATGTATGTGGGTTTTTTTATGTTCTTGCTGTAGTGTTCAGGGAAGGGACAGCTCTGGATGTATTTAATGTGAAGGCTTTGTTTTTTCTCCAATGGACACGTTACATATGCTATTAGAAAAACTCGAATATAGAGAGAAAACAAAGGGATGCAATGAGAGCCAACCCCCGGACAGCCCCCCGACCCCTCAGCCTTCGGGACGTACTGGAGGGCCTGCTCCACCTGCTGTACTTCTCCACCAGGGTCTCCGGGTCGTCCAGGAACCTGGAGGGACAGAGGCAGATGTGACAGGTCTTGTAAGGAAGGGAGGGCAGCCTTCTTAACCACAATGTCCGCGTGTGCGCACACACACACACACACACACTCCCTCTCTCTCTCTGCCACCCAGTCAGCATGACTCATCGCCATCTCCGTGGTCAATTGTGGGTCAGGTCACGGTTTCACCGGCTGAGTTTTGCAAGGTCATCACCAGGCCTTTCTTCCTCATCTGTCTCAGCCTGGAAGCTCCGCTAACACGTGTTCAGCATGACGGCAACATGCAAGCCTCTGCCGACAGACAGTGGGGGATGTGCATGAAAAGCCTTGGCTGGGAATTGAACCCAGGTTTCCTGCATGTGTGTGTACACATATACACACAAACACATACACATATGTACTGTGGAGGTGAGCCTTAGAAAACACTGTGCTGCTGGCATTATCTGAATAAGGTGACTTCAGGCCTATTTTAACAAGGTCTAACACTGCACCACCACTGCCAGACACACAGTAAAACCTGCAAAAGCCAGAACTTGTGTAAGGCAGAAAGCTGTCGGAGAAGGAAAACGGAAATGCTTTCCACTAACAGGACAGAAAAGGGGTAAGACTGCACCCGGTCACAGGTGGAAAACTGGCGAGACCTGGAAAAACCAGGCCAGTCCGACAAGTTCCTGCTCTCCCAGGTTTCACCATATATACGCACAACACACACACACAAACACACATACAGAGATACATATACGTACATATACAAACATACACACATATACACTCAACACACGTATGTATACACAAACATGCAAACACATATACATGCATATACACACCAATATATACAAACATACATAAATACACATACGCATACAAACATACACACATACATAATATACACAGAGAAACACACATAATATGCAAACACATACATACATACACACAAGCACACATACATATACACACAAACACATACACACATGTACTGTGGAGGTAAGCCTTAGAGAAAACTGTGCACCTGGCATCTGAATAGGGTGACTTCAGGCCTAAACTGAAACTCCGGTTTGAATTAAGATTTTCATTTCTCCCTTTCTAAAGAAAGTCAGGCCGCCTTTTTCCCTGTGAACGTGTTACTATTCCAACACCCACGCCGACAAGCATCAGAGTTTGAGCCTCGATGAAGAATCGTGTGGTGCCAGTGAAGCTGTCTAGGCAGCTGGCTTCCCTAAAGACGCTGTAACGGGAGCAGGTTAGGAGACGGAACCGAGAAGTTAAATGAAGCTACAAGCTACAGACAGCTCTACAGATAACAGCGGGAGGCATCTCCGTCCGTCCCTGCCCCTGAAACGTCTGTTTATCATCTGTGGTCCCAAACTAAACTTTCCCTTGCTGACAGTTTTTCTATTTCTGCTAGCTTTCTTTGAAAACCTGGAACTAGACAGCAAGGCAGATCTTGGGTACAGGAGTTTTAACTGTTTCGAACACGAAGAATGCCCAGGATCAGGCTTTGACTTGAGAAGGGAAACCTGCCGTCTCAGTGCTCACTGCGCCGCTAGGTGAGCTGCCTAAACACTCCTCACCCCCTTGGCCAGCAGGGCAATGTCTACATTTCAAAGACTTCCGGTCGGAGTTGATTCCACTCTCATTTCTTAACCACATGAATCCATTTACACTTCAGGGACTTTAACCAGACTTGACCTGACCTACGACCAATCGACCAATCGCGGCCCATGTCAACACGTTTCCGCCATGGACTTTAGACCATAAGGGGTCAATGTTAGCTTTAGAAACTGACCTTAAAAAAATCTGTGATTTGACAACTCCTTCTAAGTTTCCCTTCCTGCCTCGATTCCCCTTTGCTGTGAAAGGTTTGCTTGCTTTACCAAATGGAAACCCACTGCCTTCTCCTTAAGCGGGGCTACATGCATCTCCTCGCATGATGCCGAATAACCGCATTTCATGAAAAACAATTCTTCCTTCAATAAAAATTTTGTCTTTAATCTCAAGCAGAGCATCAGCCTAATGTTTTCCTCAAGACAGCACACACATACATACACGTTGTGTGTCATGGATCGCTTTGTGTGGCCTTTCTTACCATTCATGACTATGAGGTTTATTTGGAAGGAACAGGTTACCCATTCAGGATCAGGAACGACTCCCGATACGGGACTTTGCTGCTTCTCGGCTGTGTCCACAGGAAAAACTCCCTCGGGCCCTCGGCTTCTTGGCCTGTGTGTGTGGCCATTGCAAACAAATGACTGAACCCAGCAGAGAAGCAGAGAGTGCTGTGGGAGGGATGGCTGGTGTCAGAATTGGTAAGAAGGTTGGGGAGAGCAGGCAAACGGCTGAGCTGGGCCTCACAGGAATCCACTTTGGGCTGAAATCAATGGCGGTTCTCCTCCTGCCTCGTGAAGTTAAAGGAGTTGAGATGCCCTCACACTGCACCATTTTTACACATACACAGGAGCTCTAGTGGCATAGTGCCCAAGGCACTTGACTGCTAACCAGAAGGCTGGTGATTCAAATCCACCAGCCACTCCTCAGAAGGAAGGTTGGGCAATCTACTTCCATAGTGATACTGCCTCAGAAACCCAAGGAAGGGTCGCTATGAGTTGAATCAACTCGGCAGTGAGTCTGGTTTTTGGTATACACACTACACACCTATGCGCACACACATATATACACTCATACACACACACACATATACATGCATATATATACACAGAGATATGTACACTATGCATATATATGTGTACACACACACACACACTTATCCATGTACATGCTGGAGCCTTTCATACAGAGGCCTTGGGAAATCCACCTGTCTCTTTCCCTTTTACTCATTCATTCCATCCTGAACTGATGAACTGGAACAGTCAGAAAATGAATGAATCGTTGTGGAGGGAGGGGAAAAGGACACCCACACCAGTGGCAAGTCCCAGAGGAGGAAGGGAAGGTGGAGGTGGGGGTGAGGTGGGGGAAAATACGTTCACGTAGCAACACTGCCACCTGGTGGTCCTGGTTGTGTTCCGGCCTCCAGTCACTCAACAGTTGAGCTAGTGGGGTGAGGAAGGAAACACCGTCAACACTCTGCAATGAGCCCTGGTGGTGCAGTGGTTAAGCGCACCACTGCTAAGGGAGAGGTCGGCAGTTCAAACACCAGCAGTGCCATGGAAGAAAGGCCTGGTGATTGGCTCCCATAGAGATTACGGCCCAGAAAACACCGTGAGGCAGTTTTAGCTATCACACTCGGTCAGTACGAGTCAGAAGTGACTTGACGACACACACAACAGTATCTCACTATACGGATGTATCACATTTCGTTTATCCAGCCATCTATAGAATTTTATGACACAAAGTAAATCTAACTTTACATCTAAGTGAACCTATCAGCAGAAGTAATATTGAGCACCTCTGAGTGGGTGGGGGCCCGTGCTTGAGAGGAGGAGGCTGGAGAGAGAAGGCAAAATGAAGCACAAGAGAGTGACCCAGCAGAGTGTCAAAATGAAACAACCCAGTGACACGGCACGTCGGGAAGTGAGGACGGTGGGCTCGACACTGCACTGGAGGTTCTGCCCCTTCCCACCCTACACTCTCCTCCTGCATAAACTAATCTGCCCCCGGGGCAGCAGCTGACAACTCGAGCACCCCAAGAGCTGACCCTCCAGCCCCGACTTCCCTCCTGTCCTCTAGATGTGAAGAGTCAACACAGCCACCCCCGATGAGCCTTGGCAGCTCCCATCTTTCAAGTCTACCTTGGATCCTGCATCCTAGCCTCGCACCTGCAGAGGTCCTTTGTGGGCAGCTCTTCGCTGTCCATGGTGCTGTCCCAGCCTCGGACCTGCACAGGCCCCTTTGTGGGCAGCTGTTTGCTGTCCATGGTGCTGTTCCAGCCTCGGACCTGCAGAAGTCCCTTTGTGGGCGGCTGTTCACTGTCCATGGTGCTGAAGCTCATGCTCTGACACTCCCCTTTGCCATGCCACCTGCTGTCCACGGTGCTGAATATTTCATCCAGAACTGGCAGGATCCCTCGTGGCACAGTGGTTAAATACTCAGCTGCTGACCAAGAGGCTGGCGTATCAAACACACCAGGGGCTCCATGGGGGAGAGGACCTGGCAGTCTGTGCCTGAAAAGATCTCAGCCTAGGAAGCCTCTCGGGGCAGTTCTACTCTGTCCCAAGGGGTCACCATGAGTGTGAATTGACTCAATGGCAATGGGTGGGAGGTGTAGGCAGATCAGGTGGCACAACTGTCAAGCTACTAATTAACAGGTCGCCATTTTTAACACACCAGCCACTCCTTGGGAGAAAAGACCTGGTGAAATGCTCCCATAGAGATCACAGTGTAGGAAACACTGTGGGGCAGTTCCACTCTGTCACATGGGATCACTGAGTCAGAAGTGACTCGATGCACACTACGTTATGTGCCAGCTTGGCTGGGCCACGGTCCTCAGCGGTTTGGCAGACACTGCAGTCACCTGTTTTGTGATCTGATGTGAGCAGCCAATCTGCTGAAAAAGGCATTTCCTTGGCAGTGTGCACTGCCTCCAGAATATAAATGGACGCTCTGGCAAAGTTCTCGCTCAACCCTGCACTCTTCTCATCGCCTGACCCCTGGCTATGAGGAATGAGCCTGCATAAAAGTTTTAGGGCATTTTCAGTCTGCTGCCTGACCTGCAGATCATGGATTTGCCAACCCCCTCAACCCCGTGAGCCACCAGAGGGCTACAGCCTGCAGCCAAACCTATGGATCTGGGACCCGCCAGCCCTCCAACTGC